TACTCTGCAGTGCAATTGCTTGAGCAATGCTATTTCCACCAATTTTCGTGACGATAGCTCGTAGCTTGCGACTAATTTGAAATTGAATGTTATTTCATAGCAATAATAGTGTTATTTGTTAATGCAGGTAATTTTTTTAACTGGTAAAAGTTTTCTTTGTGCTAAAATTGTGTCATGTCGTTATTACTTTATTGGTAGAAGAAGAAATAACATTACATTATATACATTTTTAATAGTAATATATTTATAGAAATGACGAATTATCCCTGACAAAAAAACGAAGAAAGCTATGCATGTTGTTTATCGCTTTATTGTTCTTTATCACATTTGTGTCAGCAGCCAGGTGGCGCCATCATGTGGATGGCCTGAGAACTGTGCATTCTACAAAGTAAATACTTGTTTACTTCCATTGTTTTGCTAAAATGATTGTATAAGCCTTTTTGTCTGACATGATTGTAGTTTTAATAAATTTGTGAAAATCTTTAGCTAATCTGTGACTGGAAAGTTTCCTTTTTTGGCGAATTAACCCTTTCTTCAACTTACTGCAAGTAAACCAGTTCTAAAATACTTATTCTGTCACATCCAGGAAGCACAAATTAATCCCGTGATGAAACTTGGTGTAACTGCAGTTATTTTAGCGATGTTCAAATAATCCATTTTGTATTTCTCTCTCCGAATACGTTTGTCGGATTGACAGATTCTTTACGACGACGAATGATTTCGTTTCCAAAGTAAATCCGTGTACTAATACTATTTACCGAGTATACGTTGACCTGTTGACTTCACACGCAGAGTGTTTCTTGTCTCTGTCTATGTCGACCAACACCTACAACCCGCTGACTAGACTTTCTACAGCTGGCTAGCTTCGCAAAACTTCCGAAGGCAAATCTGGGCTTTATCCATCAAGCACGTCATGCATGCGAGGGATGAGGAAGCGGCGTTGCCAGGGGCGACCGTCTGATCGACGCGCACATCATCCAATACACCCGCCACATCATGCATTGCTACGTTTTACATCATAGAGCATTCACTATATGCCGCTACATTCTGCATCTCACAGCATCTCACTATGTCCACTACATTCCACATAATTTAGCATCCGCTACATTCCACATCCTACAGCATCCGCTACATTCTGCATCCTACAGCATCTGCTATGTACATCCGCTACATTCTGCATCTTACAGCATCCGCTACATTCCACATCCTACTGTACAGCATCCGCTACATTCCGCATCTCACAGCATCCGCTACATTCTGCATCTTACAGAATCCGCTACATTCTGCATCCTACAGCATCTGCTACATGCACTACGTTCTGCATCGTACACGATGGTGACCTCAAACCATGATCTCGGTACGTCCGTTTTACAGCTTTTACCGGACAATTTTACAAACATCAGGCTGTTCCGTCGGAATTTCGCGCGCGGCCAACAGCGATCATTAAATATTAAGACGGAGCCACTTAATGGTTGCGGAAAGTGCGTCACCACTCCTTATAAGGGCATTAATGGCTCGACTAAGAGCTACAGCGTAAATTGAAATCGTGTAGACAGTAGTAATCGCGTAGTGTAATAATTAGTGTAGCGAACACAGTTTTTAAGTTGGCAGGCGGGTGTCTGAATTGTCTACCTATGACTACAGCGTACAGTCACTATCTAAAGCGGTTACTAGGCGATTTTAAGTGCGTACATTGGGAGTGAGGAACGGGATTTGATTTTCTCCCCTGATAGAAAAAAACCGACGTACACGTTGGTCACTTAATGCAGTTAATAATTTAATGGTCGTTATGATGTGTGCAGCGGGAGGCACTGTGCTGGGTCTTTACCGGTCTTTACCCTCTCCCACGATGCTGCTCCTGCTGCTGCTGCTGCTGCAGCTGCTACTACTACTGCTGCTGCTGCTACTATTGCTGCTGTGCTGCTACTGCTGCTACTACTACTGCTATGCTGCTGTGATGCTGCTGCTGCTGCTACTGCTATTGCTGCTGTGCTGCTACTGCTGCTACTACTACTGCTATGCTGCTGTGATGCTGCTGCTGCTGCTACTGCTATTGCTGCTGTGCTGCTACTGTTGTTGTTTTGTTGTTGTTGTTGTTGTTGTTGTTGTTGTTGTTGTTGTTGTTGCTGCTGCTGCTGCTGTTGTGCTGCTACTGCTGCTGTTGTTGTTGTTGTATCTTCTGCTGTTGCTATTGCTGCTGTGCTGCTGTTGCTGATACTGCTGCTGCTGTGTTGTTATTGCTGCTACTCGCACTCGCTGAATTGCTGCGTGCTGCTGCTGATGTTGCTCGCTACTGATGTTCTGAGCTACTGCTGCTGACTGTTGTTTGTTGTTGTTGTGTGGTTTGTTGTTGTTGTTGTTGCTGCTGCTGCTGTTGCTACGCTGCTGCTGCTGCTGCGCTGTGCTGCTGTTGCTGCTGTGCTGCAGCCCACTGCTACTGCTGTTGTTTGTTGTTGTTGCTGCTGCTGCTGTTGCTGTCTACTGCTGTTGTTGTTATTTGCTGCTTGACTGCTGCTGGCTTGCTGTTTTTGCTGCTATACTGGCTGTGTCTGTTGCTCTGCGCTGCGCACTCGCTCCCTGCCCGATTCACATGGGTAAAATACGTGCTTTGAACGAAATAATGACCATATAATCAGCCGAAGAACGGTGCAAGCGTGCTCCCTCTAGTCGGCGCGAAGCGATAGCACGTAGCAGGCAGCAAGGGATAAGCCATAAGGCAAATAGTTTTGAGAAATGAATGTTATATTATATAATAGTATATAATATATATATATATATAATATATACACAACTATAATTTGTGGTGGTCAGCCGGGTCTCTAGTAGCTATGACAACCGGACATGTATTGGATGTATTGATGATGAATTGTAAGTGTTTTACGTGATCGATATCCGAGATAATATCTGTTATAAATATGTATGTGGTATAGTTTAGTAGCATGGGTTGTGAATGAGTTGTCTCATCACATAGAAATAGTATGGAGGGACCATACTTTCTATGGAGGGACCCATTATTTTCTAACGCGGCACCAGAAATACGCGTGTGCGCCAGAAAATAGTCGGTATGAGTCAGTTGTTTTGGTCGTGTGGCGTATACGTCACGCCGCAGCGCGTGCGTGCGTCTTTCCCTTTGTCTTCGCGTCTTTGTCTTCGAGCCTTTTAATTGTCGACTTCATACGTCATGGAATAATCAAGTTTATCTGAGTTGCGTGAATACGAGTTTGGTTTCGAATTATTTTCATCCGCCAATAAAGACATTCTTCTTACGCTGTTAAATTTTTGGGCAGACGTTCTTAACATGTTTTATAATCAAGACTCTCCGAACTCGTTCTATAGCTTATATCGTAGTTAGATCATATCACGATGAGGTGTGTGTGTGGGGGTGTTGTGCGTGCGTGCGTGCGTGGCGTGCGTGCGTGCGTGCGTGCCGCAGTGCGTGCTCGGTGGCGTGCGTCGTGTGTGCCGTGCGTGTGCGTGTGGTGCGTGCGGCGTGCGTGCGTGCGCTGGCGTGGTGTGGTGGTGGGGGGGGTGAGCGTCCACAGCCGTGAGCTCATGAGACGAGGAAACATTCCAAACATTGGCCTCCCTCCCCAAACACTCTTACCCAGGGTGTCGTACCTATGTGGGGAGGTAGGAAAGGTACTACTGCCTTGGGATTTTAAACTATCATGCATTTTTTTTAAACTAGTAATTCTAAATGACATTGTGTCGGGTGTCCTAAAAAGTTCTATTTCTCTCAGTCTCCTGCTGCCCGTCTACGCCCCTCACCACTCCCAGCAGTAAGCAGCAGCACGCAGCAGCAGCAAGCAGCAGCAGTAGTGAAGGCAGTAGTAGCAGTCAATAGTAGCAGTAGTAGGCAGTAGTAGTAGGCACAGCAGCAAGTAAAGTAGTAGGCACAGCAGCAGCAGTAGGCAGCAGTAGCAGTAGCAGCAGCAGTAGCAGCACAGGCAGTAAGGCAGTAAGCAGCAGCAGCAGCAGTGAGAGCAGTAGCAGCAGCAGTAGCAGCAGTAATAGCAGTCAATCTGTGCGTGCGTGTGGTGGATACGTGACAGCATGCATTCATGCAGTAGTAGCAGTAGCAGCAGCAGCAGCAGCAGTAGCAGCAAAGCAGCAGTAGAGTAGCAGCGGAGGAGCGAGCGAGTAGCACAGTAATGCAGTCACAATCTGTGCGTGCGTGTGGTGGATACGTGACAGCATGCATTCATGCAGTAGTTAGCCACATCGTCAACCGTGTCATCATCGTGACGTCTCTCTCTCTCTGTGTGTGTGTGTGTGTGTGTCATCTTATTGTCTGTGTTTGTGAGTCATCGTGATGTCTGTGTGTATGTGTGTGTGTGAGTCATCTTATTGTCTGTGTGTGTGTGTGAGTCATCGTGATGTGTGTGTGTGTGTGTGTGTGTGCGCGCGTGCGCGCGTGCGTGCGTGCGTGCGTGCGTGCGTGTGTGTGTGTGTGTGTGAGTCATCGTGATGTCTCTGTATGTGTGTCATCTTATTGTCTGTGTGTGTGTGAATCATCTTATTGTCTGTGTGTGTGTGTGTGTGTGAGCCATCGTGATGTCTCTGTATGTGTGAGTCATCTTATTGTCTGTGTGTGTGTGAGTCATCTTATTGTGTGTATGTGTGAGTAATCTTATTGTTTGTGTGTGTGTGTGTGAGCCATCGTGATGTCTGTGTGTGTGTGTGAGTCATCTTATTGTGTGTATGTGTGAGTCATCTTATTGTTTGTGTGTGTGTGAGCCATCGTGATGTCTCTGTATGTGTGAGTCATCTTATTGTATGTATGTGTGAGCCATCGTGATGTCTCTGGGTGTGAGCCATCTTATTGTCTGTGTGTATGAGCCATCGTGATGTCTCTGTATGTGTGAGTCATCTTATTGTCTGTGTGTGTGTGTGAGCCATCTTATTGTCTGTGTGTGTGTGAGCCATCGTGATGTCTCTCTGTGTGTGTATGAGCGTGTATGTGTGTGAGTCATCTTATTGTCTGTGTGTTTCTGCTACAGGTCGTCGTGCCAGGGCCGCTAGGGGCTTCACTGAGCGTCAAGGTTTCACTGAGGGAGGATTGCACGCAGCTTCCGCTGTTGCCACTACAGTGAGCATACATGATTCACTGGTGCAAGCTGCAGAGAAAGAGCTTCAGTGAACAGAGTTGTGCATCAGTGATTCAGTGATTGCAGCTGCACAGAGCTTTAGTGATTCAGTAACCAGAGCTGCAAAGAAAGCTTCGAGGATTCAGTACCCAGTGTTTCACAAATCTTCAGTAATTCAATGACCAAAGCTGCAAAGAGATATTCAGTGATTCAGTGATTGCAGCTGTACAGGGTTTCCATGATTCAGTGAGCAGAGCTGTACACTGGTTCAATAACTAGTGTTTCACAGGGCTTCAGTAAGTCAGTGATCAGAGATTGAAAAGGATTCAGTGATAGCAGCTTTACAGGTCTTTACTGATTCAGTAACTAGTGTTTTACAAGGCATCAGTAATTCAGTGATCAGCGATTGAGAAGGCTTCAGTGAACAGAGCTGTACACAGAGTTTCAGTGCTTCAGTGAACAGAGCTGTACACAGAGTTTCAGTGCTTCAGTGAACAGAGCTGTACACAGAGCTTCAGTGCTTCAGTGAACAGAGCTGTACACAGAGTTTCAGTGCTTCAGTGAACAGAGCTGTACACTGAGTTTCAGTGATTGCAGCTGTACACAGAGCTTCGGTGCCTCAGTGATGAGTGTGTCAGGTGGAGCAGCCGTCATCGGAAATGAGCTGGGATGCAAGCTCAGTACCACCTCCATGAGTGAGGTGTGCCGCATATGCCTGTCAGGTAGGTACGGAAGATTCCTCCTTCCCTCTCGTTCCTTCTGCTCCCTCCCCCTCCCTCTGCTCCTACCCTCCCCCTCAGCACCACGTCCATGAGTGAGGTGTGCCACATATGCCTGTCAGGTAGGTACGGAAGATTCCTCCTTCCCTCCTTCTCTCTGCTCCCCTCCCCCTTCCCTCTGCTTTCCTCCTTCCCTCCCTGCCTCCTTCTTTCCTTCATTTCCTCCCTCCCTTCTTTCCTCATTACCTCCCTCCTTCCCTCCCTCCCTGCCTCGCTCCCTCCCTGCTCTCCTTCACCTTCCTCCCTCCCTTATTCCCTTACTACCTCCCTCCTTCCCTCCCTCCTTGCCTCCCTCCCTCCCCATTCTCTCCTTCACCATCCTTCCTCCCTTACTCCCTCTTTCCATCCTTATACCCTCGTCTCCCCCCGCGCTTCATGCCTCCTTCCCTTCATCCCTCCCTTCATCTTCTCTACACAGTCACGCGTACACGCCTCTTCCTTTCTCGCTCGCCCTCCCTCTCTATCCCTCGCCCTCCCGCTCCCTAGCTCCCTCTCTCTCTCTCTCCCTT